ATTTTTTATATAAATTAATAATAAAAAATATAATAAATATACTCTTAATATATACTTATAAGATACAAATTAAAAAAAAACCCTTAAAAAAAAAAAAACGTGCACTCAACTTACAATTTAGTTCGAAGTTTCATCATCATCATTTCCCACCTTTTGCATTTCAAGGACAACTTTCTTCCTTAACAAAATCTTTCTGTTGAGTCAATCAAACGTGTTAGTTATGCATTTTCTCTTTTGGGCACCGAACAGAGAGAGAGAGAGCAATCTTATCTCAATAGATTCTCACACAATCAGTTTGCTGTAGCCGAACAAATAATGAAGATGTCAGTTTCCTCTCTCCGTCCAAATAAGTGCTCCTTTTTCTTTGTCAAGCCTACAATTAATTCATAGGTTAGGTTTGTACCAAACTTTGTTCCATTATCTTAGGGTTTACCAAAAAAAAAAAAGAAGGAAGTTTGAAAGTATATACTGATAAAGAAAGCCCCACTCCCCTCATGTTTTGTTAACAACAAACAATTTGACAACTAATAAAGTTTAAAAGTATATATGTATATATATATATATTAAATAATATTATTCGGAGTTATATATCTTTGGCTCTTGGCCAAAAAATTAAAAGATATTTGGTCCCAAATACGCAGTAAATGGATCGCTAGACTCAAAAGTAGTTGTGTTTTTTTGAACATAAGTAATTTGAGGTGAAAGGAAATTGTTAGGAAGTTATTTGGGGGGACTATAACTCCAATCCCAACCTAAGAAAGTCCAGTTACTATGCCTTGGCCACTTAAGAGACGAATCAGAAAATCACTAAGGCTAGTTAATTTAACTTAAAAGTTTGTTATACAGTAATTTAAACAATTACATGACAATTAATATGTAATAACTAACAAGCACTATTCATCTATCTTTTTGTTTTGGAAAAAAAATAAAATACTATCCCTATATTACCAATTAGAGTATAAAGCGATCAGGATTTAAATCAAGCCAAATGTGTAAATTACTTTTAAAATTGCTGCGTTAAAGTAAGTCATCATTTAAAAAAAATATTGACATAATTTATTATTTAAAATTTTTATTTTTAAAAAATTGATCTAAATTTAACTATTGTCGTTAAACTCTATTAAATTTTTATTTTTAAAATTTAATAAAAAATTAATAATAACTGTTAAATTTGAGTTAATTTTTAGAAAAAGAATATTTGATATGATAAATTGCGTCAATATATTTTTTAGATAATAATTTACTTTAATGCAACAATTTTAGAGGAGAATTTGTACCTTTTTGCCTTTAAATCTAAAACATATATTTTGGCTATAGGAGGCAGTAATTAGGCACAATATTTTGCATAGGAAAATGAACGTGTACATTGCCATCGGTCCTACATGATAATTCATTTTACTTAGTAGGGTGCATGGATCAATTAACATTTCCTTGTTTTATGTATATATCATATAGTGACCATATTAAGAAGGACAATGATAAATTCACTCCACATAGTTATACACTGACGGTTTTCATTAATATATAATAGAAATTGTTA